CCCCAAATGCTAAATTAGCTTGATCACAAATATTGGAATCTTAATTGTTCTCATTTGAAATTTTCTAGTCTGCCATAAAATTATTGATGATGATTTAAATGTTCTAATTCAATTACGCGTAATAATACAATTTATTATATTTATTGTTGTTTTACCTTTATAATTATTCTATTATTTTCAGTGGTCTGCAAAATCATGATTTTATAAAAAAAAATAATACTAAATTTCAAGTTGGCTCGAATTAAGTATAAACTCGGCTTGTTCAGAGCTTTGTTCACAGCAACATGTTTAACAAAAGACATGATAAGGTCCAAAAATTTTCCTCGCTCAGCTTTAGTTAATTCAGAATTTTTTTGATCTATAATCAATTTTATTAACAAATTTTTACCATGACAAAAGCATAAAATTTTGCTCAATTTTATCTCTGAATTGAAATCTATAAAATGATATTTATTTGAAAAAAAAATTATAAATTAAGTTAAACTTTATCGAAGGACAGCAGCTGTGTTGAATCATGTTTCAGTACTGCTGGTCGTATTGAATAAAACTATTATAAGATGGATTTTGTTAATTTGCTATTGAATCCATCTTAGAAATATACTTTAAGAAGTTAGATGGTACTAAAAAATTTTGACATTTTGAACCTTCTGAACCTGATGTTGTAAAAGCCCAGACGGCCCTTTCATGAATTAAAGCTAAGAGAACAAAATTTTCAATATCATAAAAGATATTATAACCTTAACATTTCCCATATTATCCTATGGAGCCTAAGCATCATCATTACCGAAATTCAAAACCTAAATCGAAAGTCAAACTATGGATACATTTCACTAAAAATCGCTAATTCTTTTGTCAATTAACTATAAAAAATATTATCAAAAAATCATTATCAAATTTTATAATTAATCCTAGTTAATCCAAACCTTTTTTTAGCCTATTTCCTCAGTACGGTTTCGGTTTAGGTTTCGGTATCTTGACATAGTTTCGGTGGACACCGTAGTCAAGCGCTGAAACAACTTTCGCAAAATCCACTTAGTGCCTTGTTTTTGGAATTTTCTTTATTTCGTTCAAATGATTGTAAAAAAACAACCTTTTCTATTTTCTCTATCGTACATAGAAATCTTCGGTGAAATATAAATACACTTAATGGTACCGAATAATTGCAAATAAATAAAATGTCACTCTTACAAAGCTCAACGGCTTCTGTAAAGTTCCTTTTATTTCAGTTGTTTTTTTATCTGGCCAATTTTAGTTTATTTACAAAACAATTTAAGCAGCTTGTTTGACGGTCTTACGTTGCAATTACAATAGCACCGCTAGTATTTCCAATAACCTTTGGGTAATACTTTAATAACCATTGCTAATACCCATAAGTTAACCAACCTTTGTACTAAATGCTTGCTCACTCACTAAATTATATTATTAATAGTTACTAACACACATTAGTTAGTTCAATAACTTAATGCAGTTTTTTACAAATGTTCCACAATTGTTGCCTTCTTACCAAGGCACTCCATTTGTTACTTTTACCAAAACGCTTTAAACGAAAAATAAAGCAACGGTATTTTTATTTTAAAAGTTTATTAAAGACGTTAAAAATTAATTTTATTTACTAAAAATAATCATTTGCTACAAGGTTTTATGTTAATGCTTTTTCAAGCAAGGCCTGTGAAAAATGAAGGTTTAATAAATAATCATCAGTGTAGTTGTCATAATAATATATAATTATAATTAATAGTTGCCAAAATTATCTCGTAATTATTTAAACTCCTCATTAAATTGGAGAATATTGAGTATTGACATGATATTTTTTTATCCCATACATAACATCACGCAAAGATAATAATAATAATGCGAATACAGTTCACTCTCTCTATAACGAACCCTCTGTCCCTATATGTAATTTCTCTGCTTTTGGTCGTTATAGAGAGAGTTTATTAAGATGGTCGTTATAGAGAGAGAAATTAATTATAAAAAATTGAAACGGGACAAAAGGGAAGTTCGTTATAGAGAAATTTTACTTAGTGGTCGTTATAGAGAGAGTAGACTGTACTACTATAAACACTCAAATTTTACTCATTGGTCAATTTAATATTTAAAGGAAATGATATTTGTTCTTTTGCATTAATTGTGAAAATCATTCATGTCTTTTGCATCTATTCATGAAGCATCTAGTTAGCTGTTTAATTGCAAAGTTACTTTTATAAATAAAGTCTTTCTATGTCTTGAAAAAATTCGATAGCATCAACTTAATATTAACATTGACATTAAAATTAAAAATAATATTAATCAAGTTGATTAAGCTAATAACTCTATACACACAATGCAAAAAAAAAATACCTCCCGCATCTAAATAATTAATTACCTCCCGCATCTAATAAATTAGATCGTTTGAACCGATACATCACCACCTTTTCTTTTCGTATGGCTAAGAAACAACACTTGATAGTAATAACCTAATCAATTTTATTGAGATTAGTTTGTTTCTAACGACGAAATTCCCACAAGTGATAAACATGAAAAAATATACAATTTATTCAAACTACGTGTATAAGTCTGAGAAAATACAAAATCACTAAAAATAATAGCTCAATATTTGAACCCAGAAATAATTTTAATTTCTGAGAGTCAAGCATTAAATGTTAAATAATAAAGCCATCTTCAAAGAAGTAATAGAAATCAGGTCTTTTATCTGTGAGGTAGATAAGTTTAATATTAAATGATGATGTTTCAATAGAAATTTCTATAAGAAGGCGAAATATTAGATTTAAAATACGAATATTTTATCATTAAATTATGATGCGAGTGTTAAATGTGTAAATAGTAGAAATCAGTATGTTTTATATTCAGTTTCAAATATTTGTGCTTAATTGTAGAGTAGTAACAATAATTTCTGGATTAACAACTAAATTATTTTTTTCGTTTCATCATAAACCCATTTGTTCACATAGCAGTATAAACTACTTTTGTTGATTTTATTAATTTTGTTATATGATTTGAAACATCCAATAAAAAGATTTGTAGATGCAGGCTAAAGGCAATATCTATCTGAGCATATTGCTGGCTTACACTTGTTACATTCTCATTTATGATAAATTCAAAATCATAAATCAATCATTCTCTACAATATTTTTTTTTTCAGAAAGTCCTTATTCTATCGGGTATATTTATTTAAGTGAATATTTCATTATGAATTTTATATCTCTCTGGAACAAAACCAGACAAATAGCAGTCGCCTCTAAAATCTTTAAAATACTAAAACAAATAAATTCAAAAATATTGGTCGATAAGTTTTATGGCTTATGACTCTAGCTTTAAAACTTATCGTTTAAATTTTTCTTAGAGACAACAAAAAATTTTAATATAAAAATGTTTCTTTATCCGCTTAATTCAGAGCCAAATGGTAGTTTTTAGATGTGAGGATCGCATGATATTTCAAGTTGTTATATATCTCAGAAATCAGGCTTGCAGCTTACTTTTGAAACCTATATAGCATACAATATATTAAGTTGAGTATTTGCAGACTTGTCTTATAAGCATTTTTCTGCAAGCGAAAATGTTAATGTTACAAATAATTATTAAATAAGAATCATTTGGGGAATGAATAATTCATGGATCAAGTGAAGTTTACAGCGAAAATTACAATTGTTATTTATATGTTATTGAATTCTAGGCGATTTATTTACTTAAAAGTGATTTCTTGCAAATAAAAACATCTATATATTGACGAAGCAAATATGTTGGCGACGATTACCTTTTCCATTTATAATTGTTAGACATTTTTACATTGTTAGCTTTTATCTTAGTGTGGCTTTTTAGATGACTCAACTTTATCAAGGATTGGACGACTTGTCATAGAAGAGCTTTCTTTCGACTTATAGGTTAGCCGAGTGAAGCAAGTATTTGACAAAGCTTAAATGTTTATATTGTTGTTGATATTTTACTCTAGATTAGTAGCCAACCAGTTAGCTATCTTGATATTTTCGTTGGCTTGATTTGATCAAAAGTTAACCAACTTCTCATAGAAGCAAAAAAAAACTTTGAATATCAATATGGAATAATTTATTTTAATTAATTAGAATAGCTCTCAAAGCAATTATGCTCTGATAACACTTGCTCAAGTGCTTCGCTTCTATCTTTTTCTTGGGTTCTTTTGTATTCTTGGCATTGGCTAATCTTTTAAAAAAAAAATTTATACGCATAGTGTTGACAATAAATCATATGGATAATCAACTTAATAATTTATTCTTTAAAGCAAAGTCAATAGGAAGTCTGGTTTGTTTCTTTGGTAAGTAAATAAACCTAAAAAAATTTATTTTAAAGAAAAAAAAAATTTTTTTTGATAATCTAAACTACTACCCTTGTTCTCATAATAACAATAATTCCTTTCATCAAAAGTAATTCAATTGTGTGCTATTACGCAAAATTTATCAACTCAAATACCAACTTCTCTTTTCTTTCTTGTAATTCATTAGCACGCTCACAAAATTCCTCTTATAATCCTCGTACATTCACGAAATCTTTCTTGAACTTTAAAAACTTCTCAAATAGCTGTTTTACTAGGAATCACGTTTATTTCTCTGAAGTTCTTTTTGGCAGACTTTATTTATTTTTTGTTCAATTAATTGTTTGAAATAAAAAAAACCACAAGAGAATTAGTCACATATTAAAGAAAATATGTATTAATCTTGAAGACATAATTCTAATGTGCAGCAGTTGAGTAATATTAATAGGTATAATTTAATATTAATATTGGCAAGTATCCATTGAACAATACTAATAATAATATCAACAACAACAATAATTAATTATTTATGGTACGTTTAAAGGAAGAAAAATCAAGATGATAAATTTTTTTTTATCAAACTTGATGATACCTTCTCACAACGGATGCACGGGGACACATAAGAGAATTTTATGCCACTACACACAAATTGATCATTGTTTATTTTAAAATTATTTAACAAAAAAAAAAGTGACAAAGAATTTAAATCATCCTATTAAGGATAAGTGCACATCTTCTTAAAATCGCACCCAATCTGATCACTAAAAAGTTCTTTAAATTTGTTCCAGTCACAATACTCACTTCCACAACCTGGAATCACAAGTGGTTTAAAGTTCAATACTGCTCGTATCTTTACATTATCCTTGTGATCACCTGAACAAGAATATACTTCCCAATAAAGTGTAGAAGTCCAGTGTAAAGTTGCATATTCTGTATACCTGACTTTTTTAATTTGTTCAAAGGTTAAATCTGCTGTGAGTGGGTGATTTTCTTTAAATACTCCCTGTGATCAAAAGACAAATATAGATGTAATTGTAAAAGAATGGAAGATGAAAATAAAAATGAAAATTTTCATATACCAGTAAAGTAAATGTTGTAAGTAAAATATATCCATGAGCAAACTTCAAATCAGCTATCATAAGAGACTTCCCACTTATATAATCATCAACTCCATTTACAAGTTGAGTAATATAGCGACAGGCTATTCGCTTATTAAGAGGATGTCCATATTGTACTGTATAATATCCCCAAATATCCCAATAATATCGTAATAATAGAAGTTCTTTACGGCTTAGTAATGAACACCATGTGTCAGTTCGATTAAAATGAACAACCCAATACTGGCAATTAGTAAACATATATGGCAATAAATGTGGATCAAGAGGCGGACTAAGACCATGTTCATCAGAAAGACGTTTTGCAATTTGTGCTAGAGTCTTGTTGCCATAGGAATAAAGTTGTTCATCTCGTAATGGATTGTTTTTAAAAACGGTCTCATTCCATCGTGAGCAGGTATCAAAGAATGGTGTCAAAATCTCATCTTGCTCCTATACAATATAATATTAATATATTAATATGTGTGTTAACAGATTTGAACAAAAATGGATTATAAATGGCATAGTAAAATTTTTATACCACTGGTACAGACGAAATGTATACAGGTTGACTTTTACAAGTGTCTAAAGAGCCTTTGCCATTAAATAATCCTTCGGAAAAGGCCATTGCCGATGCACCAGCTCTTTAAACAATATTGTATATTATATATGTGTGTGTTAATTAAAATAAAAAAAAAAGTAGAATTCCAAACATGAAATTGTACCTTGAAGTACCGGCACTTTGAAATTTTACAACTTCGGGATCGTATTTGACTCTCCAAAATTCTGGGTATCTTTGACGAGACTGCTTACCATCAAAAAACGATTCGATTTCTCCTCGTTTGATCAATTGAAAATTTTTCCTCATCGGGAAAACATTTTTATACTATATATAAAAAGAAAGATGTTTTTTCAGTTATGATAAATTTTAATGAATATGACAAATAATGTTTATTACCCATTCTTTTGCAATAGGAACATTAGCAAATGCTTTTTCCAATTTTTCATAGGCATTAATATCATTTGGGGCTGGATATCTCGCTCCTAATAATTGTTTTAAAAGGATTATTTAATGCGGTCAAATTTGTACATGTTTGTATACGAAATAATATTTACCATGTCTCATGTTCAAATGTAACTGTACTAATTTACATTTCTCAGGATATTTCACGGGTTTAACATCAAGAGAAAAGGCAGTCCGTTCTGGTTCAAGGTAAAATAAGTTGCCGTTTATAAGTTGTTCTAGAGAATGTTTGTATACATGGCATTGTGTCGGATTATAGGAAACAAATAAAGCAAAGATAAAAATTGAATATATAATGTGGTGTGAAAACTGCATCTTCTTTAGAATTGCAAGTTGCATTTGTTCAAGAAAAGAGAATCCATTTCTTTATATATTACGTTAGGTCGATTATATAATAATAATTTAAATTGTTTAAGGAACGAAATTTCTATTTGGAATTTTCTCAAATAACATTTAATGGTAATCTTTTAGATAATGTTGAGATGAATTTCACGATCGCCCAATAATAATAATGTGAAATTTTGCTTTGTGGAAACCCTTAAAAATTTTTAAAATAATTATTTTTCAAGAATAGTTAGCAACCAAGTATGATCTATTAAAAGAACAATTTCTAAAGTTTTTAAAACAAGGGATAATTGCTTTAGATCCGAAACAACAGACTTAATAAACAAGAAGTCATCAAGCTTCATTTCTTGAAATTGCTTCGAATTGAACAATTGAGTAATTTGAATAAACGAACAAAACGAGTAATATAAGGATTGAGTTGTATTACGAACGTGAATTTCTATTATGTGGATAAGGATTTTTTAATTCTCCACAAAATATCTGAGCAAATTTTATACAGTCAAACAAACTCGTTCCAACGAATTCATAATCAACGAAATTTAACAACATATTAATTAGTAATTTTGGTACAATGAATCTTAAATGGGTCTGTACTAGGAAAATCGAGCTTCCAGCTATTTTTTTTTTTTTTGTCTTTTTACTCAACAATAATCTCTAATAAAGGATTTACAGTTGGTGAAAAAATTGGACCCTGATTGCATAGTAGAAAAATGAGATACAAGGCTTGGAATATTTTCTTTATATATTAAAAACATGTAACCAAATTTATAAGGGTTGTTACTAAAAATAGATTTTTTGTCTGGGAAGGTTGATTTTCCTATATAGTACAAACCCCAAATGCTAAATTAGCTTGATCACAAATATTGGAATCTTAATTGTTCTCATTTGAAATTTTCTAGTCTGCCATAAAATTATTGATGATGATTTAAATGTTCTAATTCAATTACGCGTAATAATACAATTTATTATATTTATTGTTGTTTTACCTTTATAATTATTCTATTATTTTCAGTGGTCTGCAAAATCATGATTTTATAAAAAAAAATAATACTAAATTTCAAGTTGGCTCGAATTAAGTATAAACTCGGCTTGTTCAGAGCTTTGTTCACAGCAACATGTTTAACAAAAGACATGATAAGGTCCAAAAATTTTCCTCGCTCAGCTTTAGTTAATTCAGAATTTTTTTGATCTATAATCAATTTTATTAACAAATTTTTACCATGACAAAAGCATAAAATTTTGCTCAATTTTATCTCTGAATTGAAATCTATAAAATGATATTTATTTGAAAAAAAAATTATAAATTAAGTTAAACTTTATCGAAGGACAGCAGCTGTGTTGAATCATGTTTCAGTACTGCTGGTCGTATTGAATAAAACTATTATAAGATGGATTTTGTTAATTTGCTATTGAATCCATCTTAGAAATATACTTTAAGAAGTTAGATGGTACTAAAAAATTTTGACATTTTGAACCTTCTGAACCTGATGTTGTAAAAGCCCAGACGGCCCTTTCATGAATTAAAGCTAAGAGAACAAAATTTTCAATATCATAAAAGATATTATAACCTTAACATTTCCCATATTATCCTATGGAGCCTAAGCATCATCATTACCGAAATTCAAAACCTAAATCGAAAGTCAAACTATGGATACATTTCACTAAAAATCGCTAATTCTTTTGTCAATTAACTATAAAAAATATTATCAAAAAATCATTATCAAATTTTATAATTAATCCTAGTTAATCCAAACCTTTTTTTAGCCTATTTCCTCAGTACGGTTTCGGTTTAGGTTTCGGTATCTTGACATAGTTTCGGTGGACACCGTAGTCAAGCGCTGAAACAACTTTCGCAAAATCCACTTAGTGCCTTGTTTTTGGAATTTTCTTTATTTCGTTCAAATGATTGTAAAAAAACAACCTTTTCTATTTTCTCTATCGTACATAGAAATCTTCGGTGAAATATAAATACACTTAATGGTACCGAATAATTGCAAATAAATAAAATGTCACTCTTACAAAGCTCAACGGCTTCTGTAAAGTTCCTTTTATTTCAGTTGTTTTTTTATCTGGCCAATTTTAGTTTATTTACAAAACAATTTAAGCAGCTTGTTTGACGGTCTTACGTTGCAATTACAATAGCACCGCTAGTATTTCCAATAACCTTTGGGTAATACTTTAATAACCATTGCTAATACCCATAAGTTAACCAACCTTTGTACTAAATGCTTGCTCACTCACTAAATTATATTATTAATAGTTACTAACACACATTAGTTAGTTCAATAACTTAATGCAGTTTTTTACAAATGTTCCACAATTGTTGCCTTCTTACCAAGGCACTCCATTTGTTACTTTTACCAAAACGCTTTAAACGAAAAATAAAGCAACGGTATTTTTATTTTAAAAGTTTATTAAAGACGTTAAAAATTAATTTTATTTACTAAAAATAATCATTTGCTACAAGGTTTTATGTTAATGCTTTTTCAAGCAAGGCCTGTGAAAAATGAAGGTTTAATAAATAATCATCAGTGTAGTTGTCATAATAATATATAATTATAATTAATAGTTGCCAAAATTATCTCGTAATTATTTAAACTCCTCATTAAATTGGAGAATATTGAGTATTGACATGATATTTTTTTATCCCATACATAACATCACGCAAAGATAATAATAATAATGCGAATACAGTTCACTCTCTCTATAACGAACCCTCTGTCCCTATATGTAATTTCTCTGCTTTTGGTCGTTATAGAGAGAGTTTGTTAAGATGGTCGTTATAGAGAGAGAAATTAATTATAAAAAATTGAAACGGGGACAAGAGGAAAGTTAGTTATAGAGAAATTTTACTTAGTGGTCGTTATAGAGAGAGTAGACTGTAATTGCAAATTAATAAAAATTTCATCCACAACCATCCATAAATCAAATAATATAAATAAATAAACCTGTTTAGAAATAATCACACATCTAAAATCATTAACAACATTTTTATTTTACACAATTTTTGTGGCCATTCCTTAATCATGAACCGTTGACTACTAATAGATTTGACCCTATTAAGTCTGACCAACTTTTTTGATGTATATAATAATTTGACTCACAGATTGACCCTAACACTAAATTAATTGACTCTATTAATGATTGTTACATTAATCTATTAGATTATGTAACTACTTAACTAGACTAGGCAAGTACAACGGGAATATGTCTGTGTCATCATTAAAGTGACGACAATTTTATGCTTGCGTCGTCAGAAATGGGACACTATAACCTATTATTCATCTAGAATGATCGAAATGCGTTTTCCTTGTCACTTTAGAACTAGGTTGAGGCACAACGTGTCGTTGGGTGGCGAATGACAACTGATTTGTGTTTACGTCGTCTTTTGAGAATGCAATATAGCGTGACGTGCGGTTTGCGTTTGTCTCGTCACTTGAGGGCCAGGCTGAAGCATGACGTATCGTTTGGGCATCCAATGACGATTGTTTCATGTTTACGTCGTCACTCGAGGACAGCTGAGGTACAATGTGCCGATTGTGAGGACTATACCCGGACCGGATGCAAAACATCTTAGCTTGCTAATGTGCAATGTGTAATGTTTCATAAAATAGACTATTTCGTGGTCAAACGATGCATTGATCGAGTAGTCTAATAAATCACAACAAAAAAGGTATAAATAGATATGCTCCCCCATCTGTAAACTAAAATCGCTTTTCACGATTTATTCGAATTCGAGGTTTGGAGAACGTAGTGCTAAAATGGTAATCCGTCTTTTGCTTTGTAATGTTGCATTCGAATGCCTGGGTTGAGGTACGTAGTACCGAAATGGTGATTCGTCTTTTGCTTTGTGCGTTGCATTCGATAACCTAGATTTGAGGCACGTAGTGCCGAAATAGTACTCCCACTTGGTAATACGTAAAAGCAAAAATTTATCTTAACTCTTCCTTATATTATTCTACCTTTGCGTATTACCGAACTAAGTATGGGCTTTCTATTAACGGTCGACTTTCAAAATGCACATCTAAAAAAGTCTTTGGGAAACTAAGAATTTGTTTTGATGTGTTCACAACATCCACGCGTCTTACTAGTGTATTCCTCAGTGCTGATAATCTTGCACCAAGGATATTCGCGGAAGAGTTACACTAAAACTTATTAACCAATACCCGCGACTGTATGAAAATTTAGAGTATTTTACATATTCTCATTATCAAGTCTTTTGAAGCGATATTTAAGCGAAAAAGTAATCCCATTTTTTGAATAGCCATGGATTTATGCAGAGAAGAATTTTCGATATGAAAAGGTATTCACTAGTGGAGCAATTTCATTTACTTTAATAATGGAGTTCGAGTTCGATCACTTACACAAGTTGGGAATTTTTTATACCAATTCTGGCACAAATTAAAATTCTAAAATTCTAATAATTTTATTTATATAAAATACTATACATTAATATATATATAGATGTAAACCACACACACAGATATTATATTTTACATACATTCATATGATATGAATATGAATATGAATATGGATATGAATATTCACCAGGAATATTAAAAATGAATAAATAAATAATAGATTCAAACATTAATTATTTTCCTTTTGCAAGTAAAGAACCTTTGTTGAATCGTACATTTTCTTCAAGTTGAATATAATGGTGCCCTCCTTGTAAATTTGTTGTTGATGGTGATGAGACAGTATTCTCAGGATTATCATGTTTTCTACCACTCAATAAAGAGCCTTTTTGGAAATGTAAAGAATCACCAATATTAACCAAAGTGGTACCAGAAATTGCATCTTTTACATAACCACTTCCTCCGACTACACGCCGGACCTTTTCTCTTTCTTTGGCCTGTTCAAACAATGAATCACTTGTGGCCAATAAAGATCCTTTGAAGAACGACTTATTTTCAGGTTCTGTTTGTTTCAATGGTGGGTTTTTTTCGTTATAATCTAACAATGATCCACTAGCAAATGGTCTTGACATATCATCTGTTACCGCTGATGCAGTAGCAGCAGTTGTTGTGGAGGCGGTAGTCGATGGTGATGTTGTTGTTGTTGCCGACGACGTTAGACTTTTTAATATAGTAAATGACTTTTTTTTCTTAATTCCATCATTCGCTCCTATGCCAGATGGAGATGATAATGATAATAATGATGGAGATAATGGTGACAATATTTTGTTGTAGTCTTCAACTGGAGAAGTTGTAAAATGATTTTCCGAACTGAACTTACCCAAATTATTATTGTTGTTATTATTATTAGCGTTGATAGAATTTGAAATTGAACTAAAAGATAAATTCGTGTCTTGTGGTGAAGTCAATGGTGGTATTTGTGAAGTGTTGGCAGTGTCAAGAGAAAAAGAAGCCAGTTCAAATGTTATTTCACTCAATAATGATGTAGTCTGTTAATTAATCCATTGATCATTAGTACACTAATAAAAAAAATCATTAAATAAATAAATGAATACAAAATAATAACCTCGGAAATAGTATCTGGTAATGCCTTGCTTATAGGCAAACCAAGATTAATCGTTGGTTTAATCTTTTTTTCATTTATTCCAGAAAACGTTGCAGGACTTTCTTCACGCATAAGATAATTCTAAAAAAATAACGTAAATAAATATACGACAATGTATATAGTATATTACACAATCACGCATTCATAAATTTATATTTACCCTTGAAGTTCTTATACGTAAAATCCATTCTTGCATTTCTTCCAAATTATTTGCACATAATACATGCATATAATCATCTTCAGGGTTTTCAAACATTGTAATTTTATCCTGAGACTTTATGACAAATATGAATTTTGTAGGAGCTTTTGTATTAAACTTTGGTAATGTTGTGTACACATCAAAACTTGTCAATGCACAAAGGAATGTTTCATTTGTTCCCTAAACGACAACATATAAATATTAGATTAAATAATTTTAAAACAGATATTAATCGATCAGTAAATCAATGAATCCAATAAATACCTTTAAATCTTTACTGTGATATATAGAACCATCTCTAATATTGAAATACCTTTTTTGCCATTTACCTTTTTTACCTTCTAAATTTAACCAACCCTGTTTCGTTGGAGAGCTTGATTCAGTAAATCCCTGTATAATTCATAGCATAATGATAAATAACACATATATCATAAATAAATATTAGAATTAAAAAATATTAAAAAATCATCATTAACAAAACCAACCAACCTTTAATGACAATGTATTTCTATGGGCATATTTCTTTATAACTAATGCATTGGATTTCTCGACTTCCCAATACTGGATTACTCTTGCAACACATTCCCAATCTCTGAATGGACGTTCTAAAAATAAAAAAAGTTGTCATCATTGTCATTAGAAAATTTCTCTTACACTATTAATATCTCTTTCTGACGTAATAATAATTGTTTCTCACCTAGTCCATATTCGTTATTGATTTCAAATAATGTCCATGCATCTGCGTTTGTGATTGTATTTTCACTTCGAAATTTAGTAAGAACGCCCAATGCAGTAGTCTCATTTGTTAACTGCATATCCTTGAATTGGCTCACTTCTTCAACATATATCTGAACAGTATACTATATACGTACAAACATAAAAACACATAAATATAAATATATATATAAATAATTTTTGATAAAATAAATACGAACCTTAATATCACCAGTTTTTGAAGATTCTTTTACAGTAGATGATGATTCAATAAGTTTTGTCTGAATAATAATTTTTAATTGATTAATTAAAGAGATTTTGTCGAAAAAACAAATTATTATTATAATGTTGATTATTATTATGTCCTTACCTTTTCGCGACGCGTAAATATATTATCAATAAGAGATTTTTTCTCTCTATTTCTAGATTTAGATCGTTCTTTAGATTTTTTTCTTGTATGTTCATCTCCAATTTTTGATTTATCATGACTTTTTTCTTCATTCTCTTTATTTGTTAATAACTTACGCCCGCGTTCTTCATTATCAACATTATTATTACTATTATTATTATTGACGATGATGCTTGATGCTTCTTCGTTAGGTTTGTCACGAATTTTTGTAGTTTGCGGTCTTTGTGATTGATGATGTTCTTTATCTTTCGTTAAGGTAATTTTATCATGTCCTTGATCCTTTTCATTGCTACGAGACTTGATTGGCTTTCTTCGATGGTTGTCATGTTGTTGTTGTTCAATGTTTTTTTCTTTAATTCTCCGATTATCACCTTCCAAATGGCTTAATTTATTCAACTTTAAACGATTATCTCTATATCTAGATGAAGTTCTCCCATTATCATCTGAAAAACATTCTCGTAACCTTAAATCTTCATTAGTACTGTTACTATTACTACTATTATTACTAAGCATACGATCTTCTCCTCTTTTTTTTCTTCTTCTAATCGAATCAATATTAAGATCAGGGTATAACCTTCCATTGTTATTATCATCGGAGAAACAATCTCGGCCACCATTATCTCTATTTCCACCGGTTTTTTTAGTCAACTCTTTCTCGTCATTGCTTCTTCTTCTTCTTCTTCTTTCATTAAATGCACTATCTATTTGTTGGTCATTGCGTTTACTATTACTATTATTATTTCTATAGTCTCTATTAATGTTGTTTTTATTATTATTATTATTTTTACTTTTATTATTATTATTATTTATTTTTTTAAAATCTCTGGTAGTATTAGTTGGTACTACTTTATCGTAACCATTTCTATTTTCACGTGACAAATAATCATTTTGAATTTTTACAGTTGGAGATTTGGGATTTCTCATTAAAGTTCTTGTAGCCACAAACGGACTTTCTATATCGCTATCATCATCTTCTTCTTCTACTTCGTTATTGCTATTATTATTATTAAGGAGATTATCATGTTTTTGTTCTTCATCTGAAGAATCATAATTGTCAGTAGATGATGAATCAGAGGAATCGTTTGATGAATTTTGATTACTCAATAAATTAGATTTTATTGTGGCTAATGGGCTCGAATCACCATCTGAAGAAGAAGCTTCGTCATATTTAATAGTTTTAGTATTAATATTTTTAACATTATTATTATTATTATTTAATTGGTTATTTTTATTCATATTATCTTCATCACTTGAATCAGTTATTTCATCATCGTCGTCGTCGTCGTCATCGTCGTTATCGTCGTTATCGTCGTCATCGTCGTCGTCATCGTCGTCGTCATCGCTATCGCTATCGCTATTTCTATTTATTGGTTTTATGACAGATCTTGATAATAATCTTGAAGCTGGTTTAAATGTTGGAGAAGTTGGTGATGATGATAAGGCAGAATGAGGAGGAGAGGATCGTGACTTATTATTGAATTTCAAATTTTTTTTATTACCAAAATTGTTATTGTCGTTGGAATTTGATAACAAAAGATTTGACGCAGTTGCAAATGACAACACATCTGAATTATTATTATTATTTATAGATAATTTATTAGGATTTTTTAGACGAGAATTATTATTATTTGCATTATTCATAGCAGCTTCTAGAGCTAAACCACGTATGAAAAGAGCCTCCGGATTTTTGGAAGGCGGTGAAGATGACAATTTGCTATTGTAATTGTTATTACGATTATTATCCTTGGTATTATAATCATTTAATGATTCAAGTAGGCCGGTTAAAGATTTTGATTTACGATGATGAGAATTATTAATAAGATTATTTGTCCTTGATCTATTTCCGCCACGATTATCCCTATTTACTTTTATTGATTTACTTTTTCTCAATAATAAATTTGGATTTCTATCATTATTGTTGTCGTTGCTACCGTCTTGAGATACGAAGTCAGGAATGAGAGGTGTTGGTTGTTGATGGTGATGAGGTTGTTTTGAAATGTGAGGTTGTTTATTTTTTAGCTGTTGACGATGATGCGAATTAGATTGCATATTTTGATGATCCTTTTATATATACATATATGTATGTATGTATGTATGTTAATTAAATGGTTTTAGGTGATATAAAGGAAAGAAGGATTTAATATGACTTACCATTATAGAAGACGATGAATCTTCATTGTTATTATTACCACCACTACTACTATTATTATTATTATTGCTATTGCTATTGTTATTATTTGATGATTTACCAAAAATTTTATTGAATTGTCTATTCATATTAATTAGTTTTTTTGATAAAAATGAAGGTTAAAGAGTATTTTTTATTCTATAAAAAAAAAATTTTTTATAAAAAGAAAAAAAAAGTTTTTGAGAATGAAAAAAATGGAAATGTTTTCAATTTATATTTTTTTCCAACAAATAACAAATCTAACCAATATTATAAACATATCATAATATACATGGTACATTTCTTTTTATATAAATATATAATGATGCATATTTTGAAGGTTTAGTTTATATTTGTTGTATATTTTGAACGCGTGTAACTTCTTTCAATCACCAGAAACTCTCACAAAGGATTTATTTGTTTACTAGTGCGCTAATTAATGTTTAAATAAACGTATCCAGCACTTTTCTAAAAAAAAAAATTATATTTATTTGTTTTCATCCAATTAATTCATTTGTTTGTTTATTTTATAAAATCAAATTGATTTATCAGTTGTCTAACACATTAATCACATTTAATTGGTAAAAATATTTTGATTAATTAATAATTAATTAGTTATGAAATTCCAGTCGGTTTAGGGCTTATTCATTAGTCAACTCAATAGCTGGTTCAGTTATCAAATTCAATAGTCAATTCAAAAATAGTCAATTCAATAATTTGTGTTTATGGAGTTGCTTAAGTTGTCAATGTTATTTAATATCCTCGTTTTTTCTTGTTCTTTAACAAGTACATTGTTAGTAAGTCACGTGAAAATTAATATTTAAGATGATCATGGCTAAAATTTTATTGTGATGTAACAAAATGAACATTTCCTCTATTATATACCTAGTCTGAAAATTCGACTGCGCCTTAACATTATACAAGTCTAATTTTAGAAATTATTTTGCAGTATATAGATTTTTCGGATTTGGTTAGCGCGTCGATTGAATGGCCTGAAATAGTCAAAAAATTGATGCAATGTTTGTTTGTGTTTTAATTAAATTGTTTACAAATATTAAATATTCCATTGGAAAAAATCGCACTATTAGCATAAATAAATCCTTTGCCGTGATGCCACTAAATATAGATATGAATCAATAATTAGAAACTAAAAATTTCAATCTTCATATCAATCCGTTTAATGAGCGAGAGTTGGAAGTTCTGAAGCTTAACTTGAACCACAAAATTTCTTTTCTCGAATAGGCCATATTGTGATATAATGCATAATTTTCTTACAAGTAGTGTTGTCATTTTCTTTCATTTGTTCATGAATATAATAGTAACAAGAGGTTAAAAGCTTTAACTTGCACAATAGCAAGCGCATTGACTTTGTATTATGAATGTTCTTGGACTATAGAACCGAAATATTTAACAAATAGCAATGTAATTTAGCTTGAACATGAGATCACTATTTTCTTGACAAGTATATGGGACCTCATCTGAGAAAATCAGTCAAAAAATTTTTTTTGACATTTTGAGAAAAAGGGGGTTTCAAACCTTTTTATTAGTAATTTCGATATTTGTAATTTTTTAAAAATCGATGATATTTCAAAAATTTATCAAGTAAATACGGCTATATTTCTAAGCTGAAAAGATTCCTTGCCTCAAATTACATATAACCGCATCATTGTATCAAAAATACAAAAAAAAATTTTTGACAGATTTTCTCAGATGACGTCCCATATAATCTTTGAACACCAAGCACTTTGGGTCTTTAGAATTCGCTTGTGAACTCAGCATCACGGGAACAACTCTCTTTCTAAAGCTGATATCCAGCGTTAAATACCGATTTGATCATATTTTATACTATAAAGTTATGCAATCTTCAATTTTTATATATGAATAATCTTTTTGTCATGAATGAAGCGACTTGGATGGAATATACACATAATAGAGAAGTACCATGTTACTAAATTGTGGTCGTGCGCTTACTAATATTAATAAAATGTTGTGTCACATTTCGATTTTTTATGAGAATTCTTTTTAAGATTCCAATCTTCTTAACCGTGCGTGATATATACGTAAAATAACTGCCGATTAATTGTAACGCAATAATTCAATAAAATTATGGTGTTGTACGAAATTCGATGATCATTTGTCACATGATTATTAATACGACCAATCAACGAATAAACAAATGTTAAAATTTGGCTCAGCAGATTTAACAATGCCACTTTTATACTTGGTATATGGGTACTCCTTATATGAATGAGTTAATATAAATTATATTAAGTAGATGTCGATCATTTATATGAATCCTCACTATTCTAGTGAGAACCAAGTAAATTCTTTGGAAATGCACCCACACAGGTCATTAATTAACATTCACCAATTAAAATTTATATAGTGATTTTTAGGAATCCAGGCAAGGCTCAAAATCTATTAATTAACACGTGTACAATCTTGACCAATAAAATTAAGAAAATCATTGTGATACAAGCAGATCAAATGTTTTGGCCAATAAAATTTAGGGAAAATATCACGCGAAAGTATTTTTAAGAAATTTATTTACAATATATTATATAACAGACGGCAAATTTTGAAAATAATAAAACCTTTGATATAAAGTTTAAATAAAAATCTGGATGCGATGAATTGTTTCTTGGCTTGTTTGTTGCCCCTGAAGGGCAGATACCATTTTGGTAAGCCAATAATAGTTAATGATCACTCACTATATAAAAGTAAAATGCATTATAAGAAAGCCTCTTTGAAAATTGGTATATTGATACATTGAGATTCATGTCATGTATTACAAGTACAATTGCAATTTTTAAAAGGTAGTGAGTTGCTTTACAGTTAGTATTTGCGCCAATTCTAAAATTGAAGTATCACGAATTAATATTAATTTTACAAGGAATTTTTTTATTTGCAACAAGTGTCACGAATTAATATTAATATTAATATATATACAGGAATTTTTTTTCGAAGATTTACTAAAATTATGCTAATTTTGGTAATAATTTAAATTTAATGTTATTCTAAAATGGTATAGTTCATATTAAAGATTCAATTTTTCATTGATATAAAATGCTAGGCAGGGGAACCTTTTAAGTTTGATATGCATGTATGTACATTTTTAATTTATTGTTAAATTAATATATTTTTCGTTTTGATAAAGGTTTTGCCGAGAGCTAAAAAAAACTACAGTGATGTAGTAATAAAATAGAAAGAACTGTTTTTTATATAGCTTAGGTTTATTTTTTTGTTTTTCGTTTCAAAACCTAAAACTCGGAAAAAGATTTAAGACATCATATTGATGTTAATAATACTCGTACATTGTATGTATTTCTAGATGCACATAATAGTTATTATTGTTCTTTGTTCTCAATTTCTCGTTTTTTTTCAACTTTCTTGTTTTTCAACCATAAAAAAATTTATATAAATAGTTTGTTCCACCTTCAAAAATTAAAATCCCAAAAAAAAAACAATTTTCCCCTTTCCTCTCGACAACCTTTATAAAACAAATATATTGAAAAATATATTTTACACAATTTTTTTCTGTTTTCTTTAAAAAAAATTTACATAGAGTTCCTCTGGTCAGGAATATAATAATAAACAATAATAAATTATAAAAAAATTTGTAAAATATATTTTTTCAATCCTATCCTTCAAACTTTATATACACTCTTGATATACAACACAAACATATAAAAATGGACTTCTATATTGACGATAATAGCGAGGCTGATTATTACAATAATAATATTAATAGTTTAATAATCCCTTTAAGCATTAATAACAAGTAAGCCTATACTATACTTGTTTTTGTATTTGCGTAATAAGATATATCAATAGCATTGATTCAAATTATTTTGTTTTTGGATTTTCATTATTTATAGTAGCATTCGATCAGCATCAACATCAACATCTTCGTCATTATCTCATAGTTCATCATTTTCATCATTATTTCGGGCGAATGAATTCATGAATGAATTTGACAATGAAGATGATAATGAAAATGAAAATTTCAAGGGATCTTTAATGAAATATGACGATGATTATAACAATGTTGATAATGAAAATTTAACTTTTAGAGAAGAAGATCTTTGTGAGATTGATAATGAAAATTTTAAAAAATCTAAAAAGAAATACTTTTTAAAAATTACAATTAATAATAGTAGTGGTAATAATAGTGGTCGTATTAATGGTCGTATCAGTAGCAGTAGCAATAATAATAGTAGTGGTCGTATTAGTAGTCGTATTAGTAGTGTTAATAATAACAATAGGAATATTATTCAAAAATTACAAAAATTATAGTAATTTTTTCATTGAACATTTTATATATAAATAACTGCAGCAAATATAAATATATAAATATAAATATAAACAAATTTTAGATAAATGTGATATTGTTATGTATAAATTACTTTTAACACAAATGAAAATTCTAATTCATATTTATTTGGCTACATTTCCAATAAACCCCCATACGGCCTATTTTTTGCTCAAATTAAAACAAAGTTACTGTTACCTTTTATTTCGTCAATTGAACCAATAAAGTCAGGAATATAACGCCACAAAGTAATTTTGGTGATGATCCTCTTGATTGATTATTTATTTCTAGATGTTTGTAATATCTTTGAACCTTATTGTACGTGAAAATAAATGAAAAAATCAAATGAAACTTCGTATCCAAACACTCCTCCATATTTAGTTGTAATTTGTTATCTTAGATTTCAATTCGATTTCACATATTAATTAATTTATTAATCGTTATATATATAATATAAATTAAAATTGTTTTAGTATAATAAACTTTTGTCCAGCATCTCAGAGAAGATGTATTTCAAGGAATTGGTTATTGTTTTAGGAAAAAATCTCAATATTATTTCTAAGCCGAAAATTATCTACATGAAAAGTTACACGTAGAACTGGTATTAACTCAAATTGCTTTTATAGTTTCCTATGTTTTCTCAAATGGCCGAATACCATTATACAGATATTCTTATGCGTGTGTGTCAATACTGGAGAAGAAGTAGCAGAGATATCGGATTTACCGTCTTTAATAATACCTTCATCTATGTAACAACAATTCTGGTCGAACCACAAACAGTAAAATTTATGCTCTTTGGTTGCTGCCATCAACAAATAGATTCACAACTTTTCTTAAACTGCCACGACTTTAAATGACCTAATTACAAACAAGCTAAACTATTTTTGCGCAAGTCTTAATGGCCGATCCGTCTATGAATTGGAGCTAAATAAATTTTGGGCGATCATAAAAAAACCTATTTTGAAAGCCTAAAATTCCGTAATCGAATAAGATTTCAGAAGGCTTTATTATAGAGGAAAGCGAGATTTGATAGGCTAACATAATAAATTCCAAAAAGTTTCAAATTCATTACTAGTCTAGTATCATTATTTCATTAACAGCACGAACAATAAATTTTGTCTCATAGAGCTCCAATTGAAATCTCATATTTAAACGTACAGTATATGAATATATGCTTGTTTTTCACCTTTGGATGTTTTTCAATTATCAAAAATCCACCAGTTTACAGTAAATGAACCATAGTAAAGTGTTGGAACGAATTTACCAGCAGCAATAAGTTGAATTTTATGATTCCGTGAAGATATTATAGTTTAATTAGTAAGGAAATTGAGATTTATGGAAATATTTAATTTCATATGTTTTATTAACGATTTGATAGACGAATTAGCGAATTGCTTGTTGAAGATCTAATTTTTCTTTGTAAAAATATCAACATGAATAAATTCTAACTTTATTTGTGAGCGAGGAAATAATTTAGAAGAAAATTTTGATCGCTTTATGATCGAGTAGGGGAGGTGAAGCAGGATTGGTTATTATAAATAAAAGATTAATCTCTTTAAAACTCTGTTTTTTATTAAATGTAACTCGAGTCGTTTTAGATCATAAATTTTATAGTTATTGATTCTTGCTTAAAGGGATTGAAGCAACTTTAAGTAAATAAACAGATAATTAGATCATATTAAAGATGTATGTAAGTGTTCAAGTTACAATCACTATTTATTATTAGTGGATAATCAAGTCAATCTCCATCATTTTAAATGTCTGTGATTTTATTTTTTTGATTAATGAAGTCTAGGTTGTTAATGTTGCAATATTTGATTATCAAAAATATAACAAATGTAATGGAAAAAAGATGAGCATGTCCTCACATGAATATATCGTGTAATTACAAAATGTATAAAATCCTTAATACTTGTAAAACTTCGGCTGTGTTATTCCAGGTGAATTATTTTTTAAACCATTTGTTTAGTTGGAAAAAATGAGAGTAAACATAAATATATAACAAATTTTCAAAATTTCAATTTAATGCAAACTTTATCTTCAAAGAGTAAAATCAAATGTTAAGATTTAATCTTGCTCTTGATTTCCAATAGAATCAGTAGCCGTGTGCTTATGAATTTAATTTTCTGTTTGTTATTTACAGTGTGTAAAAATTTTTGGAATTTTTTATTTATTCATTATTCAAAAACCATTGCATAAAAAACATATCAAAATAAAGATTAAAATCTATAAAATCTAAAGTTTTAATTGATTAAAAATTAATAATTTACTCTTTCGCCATTAATTTCGCACATCCTCTTCTCGTCGAACTAATAAAGTTAATTATAGTGTTATTTGGAATTCTATCCTATCACTCCATAATATACCGCTTTAGGCGTATGCATTTCTACATTTCTTTAACAATTACCCAACAGTTTTCAATTGGATTTAAGTCTGGACTATTGAAGGTCAGTCCATAACGTCAGGAAAATTTTCACTCAGAAATGTTTGACAAATCCTGCTTGCATGTTCCGGTTCTGGTTCTGAATGAAGACGCCAATTGTTTCCGAGCACTCTATTGATCTCTTAATTGTGACTTTGTGATATATCAGCATAAAAATTTGCATTCATGATTCCTCTAAAGCAAAAAAGATAAGTTTTTCCTTGTGTACAAAATCATCCATACAAAAATTTTAGTTCGATATCCTTCGTACTGGTCCTTTACCTTTGTACCATTGTGTTATAGTATTGCTGAATAGCTGAAAGGAAGCCATCAGAAAATAGAGTCTCCCAGTTGTCTTTGAGGTATCTAGTCGCTCAACTAAACATGAGCTTCTTTGTGATCAACATTGAGCATAAGCATCTTTAAAGGCAAACTATTTTTGTAACTGAGCTTTCCGAATGTCTTGAATTCGTCATACGGGTCACTTTAGCGACATTATTTGATAAATTTCTTGTGGTCACTGCGCAAATATTGTCCGATTGCTTTTGATTCATGCGCGATAATTTTTTTGGAAAGACTGTTTTCAATTTTTCTTGAATCATCGCCTTTTTCTTTTAATTTCTTAAGACTGTATGTGGTATATGGTTGAAGTTATGATGCCAGTTCTATAATGTATTTATCTTGCTGAAGTGGTTTCCATTATTCCAAAATTGCAATATCGCTTTTCTTTGGGTATCTTTATTGGAAGATGACATTATGACAATGATTCCAAAACAAAACAAATCGATTTAAATATATCCTAATATATTATAGGGTAATATTGTCAAAACATGACGCGAACCACTTAATTTTTGTCACACATTGTATTAGTTATTCAATTCGTTTATGGTCACGTGAGTAAATATACTGTTCTAGTTTGAATGCTTCGTAAAGTTAATGTAATGTAGCATCACGAAATAAACTCATTGAATGTAAAAATGCATTTGGTTTTGTAGAAAAATCTTGAGCGAATCTAGATTTGGTTTAACAACTGCTTCTTTATAAGCTGTTTATCAAATCTACATCATCACCACTACCTGAATCATCTCAATAATTTTCTTCTTATTTGTTTTCATCAACGTTTACAGAACAACAGCGATTAATAGATATTTATGCTGATATGATCATGTGATATTACTAAAATAAATTTCGGCGCACTAAAAATGTTGATCTGGAAATATTATTATTAATTATGGACTCTACCTCTAAAAATAAAAAACGAAAAGAAGAAGATACAGCATCAACAGCGTCAACAGTAGTAGCAAAACCTAATTTTGAATTATCAGGAAAACTTGCAGCGGAAACAAATTCATTTAATGGTGTTGTTTTAAAATATTATGAACCACCAGAAGCAAAATTGCCAACAAAAAAATGGAGGCTTTATGTTTTCAAAGGAGATCAACAAATAGGTATTTCAAATAAATATATGTGTATATATATATATATATATATGCATAATATGATTCATCCAAAATATATTTAATAGACGTTCTTCATATCCATCGACAAAGTGCATATTTATTAGGTCGTGAAAGAAAGGTAGGTACTATTGGCATTATTTTCAATGGTTTTTTTTTATATAGCGTTGACTTTCTCTCATTCAGTTTAATTGTTTGTTATAAAAACCAACAAATAATAAAAAAAATGTGTTAGGTTGCTGACATTCCAATTGATCACCCTTCATGTTCTAGTCAACATGCAGCATTACAATTCCGTGAAGTAGCAATAAAAGATAAAGCAACAGGAGAATCCAAATATGAAATAAAACCTTATATAATTGATCTTGATTCAACAAATTCAACTTTTGTTAATAAAAAACCTATTCCGCCTTCAAGATATGTTGAATTATTTCCTTCTGATGTATTGAAGTTTGGTTTTAGTAGTAGAGATTATGTTTTGATTCATGATGAATATGATGATAACACTAATTTAGATAAAGATTAATTGTGTATTTAAAGATTTTGAGGTAAGAGAAGAAAGAAAAAACACATAATATATATTTTATTAATAGAATTTTATTAATTTTTATTATTTACTGTATAAGAAAGTATTTATTTTTTTCCAAAAAAAAAAATATATATATACACATATATACATTTATATTAAATTGCTTGCATGTTACTCAAAGTTTCAGCCAAGTTCTTTGATAACGCAACACAACTTGTAAGCATTTCTGCTAATTCTTTTTCATACGCAACAAAATGTTGAAGATTTGCTGATGATAAAGATAAATTCCTTAAAACTAACGAAGTTAATAATGGAATTCCGATAGCATCTCCAATATTGTCCGATTTAATATAAGTTTTATAAGTGTAAATTCCATTATTTCTACCATATTTATTTACAATCTCCGGGCTTCTCTTGCGCTTTTTGCTATTTTCAGTTTCTGGTTGAGGAAAATGAGTTTTCAAGTGAGCTATGACAGTTGTGATATTTTCTGCACCAGATGGAAATCTATTACAACTCAACCAATTACATGAATACTGTTTCTTTTCTGATAAATGTTCTTTAACTAAGTGTTCCATGACTATATGTTCCATCAATTTACTTTCATTTTCAAAAGATGATGCTTCTTTACAATCAACCCATTTACAATCGTACAACAGATCGTTTTGTTGATTTTCATCTTTTGGTGGTATTGGCCTAATACCTTGAATCATATATTTGTATGATCCATCTGATGCTGTAACCATAATTGCAGAAGAATCCGGAAATGCACGATTAACAAGTTTAATAACTTCTGCTGCTGGCATCATAGGACATTGAGAATTTTGGAATTGATCACGATAAGCAAACCATATATCTGTTTGTAAAACTCCATCAAATGGCGATTCTTCATATGCAGCCATAATCCTATCATTATTATTATTATGGATATTAAAGAATCATTAATTGTATATTAAAAATACCAAATTGACAATCATATAAATTCAATTATATATATACCATTCTAAAGATCTATATGGTTCCATAAATCTTTCAAAATCACCATGTAATTGGGGTGGTCTCTTTTCAATTGGGGGTATTCTTTCATGAATTTGAGATTCCACACTTGAACCATGTCTTAAATAACTAATTAAAAGACGTACAAGATTTCCTGGGGCATATTCTACCATGCGAGATGCTGTTTCTTCAGAAGTAGAAAAATAATACAACAATTCTAAAATGGCCTTGCTCAACTCTTCATCATCGTCTATCAAAAGCAGATTTACTAAACGTTTTACAACGCAAGAATCAACATTTTTAATAAATTCTGAATTTTGTTCATTTCCAGCTAGACGTGACATTGTTGTGATACTGTGTATAACCAATGCAATATCATCTGAAAAAATAAGTCTTCGTAAAACCACCAAAATTTCATCTTCACTGCTATTTAATTTAATAATATGACTCATGCTTTTAATAATCTCTATACAGTAAATTCTAATTTGTGGAAATTTTAAAAATGCTGGTAGTGTGAGTGCTTCCATCACAAAATTTTGTATCATTTTGTTGGAAGACATTAATTCAGCATTATAATTATAAGAAGAGAAATTTCTTAAAATTAAAAATATTTGGGATGCTTTTTGTAAGTGCAAGTAATTATTTAAGTCGTTAAAATAGTCATTAACTGTTGATTCTGTTGAATATTGATTCACCTCATATAAACTTGTTACTTGCACGTAAAAATTGTTTAAATGAATAACAAATATATCTAAAAGTTCTGGGATTCTGTCTAATCTGAAGTTGATCATTTGATCCATGGATATTTTTAGTAAAGTATCTAATGCCCAATCTATCTCATTAGCTAATTGTGATTTCAAAGCAAGAAGTATTCTATTTAAATGACCTCCGCTCAAAATGGAATCTATAATTTTATAAATAATTAAATAATTAATCATTAGATTGAAAAATAATAAAGATATTTATAGAAAAAAAAAGGGAATTGCTATTTCTCACTGGTGGTGATTGTCACCACCTAAGGAATTATACAATTTATGATTAACCCCAACCCTAACTCCGCCCCACGCAAATTTA